GCTGAGTCACCCAGGGATCCCCTGTAATCAAACTTTTAAAACTATTTCCACGCATGATTTTAAAAGTTTGGAGATGCCTAGGAACTGCAATTAACTCTCCAAATATTGGTATGAGAAAGAACTCTCAGAGACTCCACGTGGTAGGCAGATCAATGCCATTAACTCCCACCTCCCACCAATGATGTCCAAGTCCCATTCTTCAGGACCTATAAATACTGTATCTTGCATGGCAAAAGAGATTTTGAAGATGTGTTTTGAGATATGGACCTTGAGATGGAGAGATTATCCTATATTATTTGGGTAGGCCCAATCTAATCACATGAATCCTCAAAGGTACAGAACGTTTTCCAGCTGCAGTCAGTGAAAAAGAAAGGTGACAATGGAGCAGAGTCAGACAGATGCCATATGAAGAGGATTCGACTTACCACTGCTAGTTTGGAAGATGGAGGAAGAGGCCATGAGTCAAGGAAAGCAGGCATTCTCTAAAAGATAGATAAAGCAAGGGAAAGGCTACTCCCCTAGAGCCTTCAGAAAGGACACAGCTTTGTCAACAAGTGATTTTAATCCAGAGAGACCACTGAACTACAGAACTGTAAGCTAATAAACTTGTGTGATTTCAAGCCACTGAATTTGTGGTAATTTGTTATGCCAGCAACAGGAAACTTTATCCTCCATCTGACCTAACTAATTTGGAATGCTGGAATATCACGACAGATCTAAATACTACATCAAACAGATTCAAGTGCCATCATTTAAACATTTTTGTCAACATCTCCTGACTTTACATCACTAGGGGAACAAATAAGAGCCAAGTATGACATGAGAAGTTGATGAAATCTTACTTGCAAACACGGAAATAGAAGAGGAACAAACTCTTTGGCCAAGAAGAGGTAAGAGTTTTCAGCTATGACCTTTCCCCATTATCTGAACATTATCTGCAGTGCCACCAAATATCAAAAAGAGCAAAAAAACGCTGACCTTGGAATAAGTTGCATTTTTCCCAAATCTAAGGCAGTTAGAGAATTTTAAAACTCATTCTTCAATATCTGAACTTCAAAAGGTAAAATTTCCAGGAATGACAGTATTGTGCTGGAAACATTAATGTGCCAGCATGAAATAATATCATTCTGTAGGAGGCAATAAAGGTATGAATTATGTCAAATTGTATTTGGCTCACGGATGTTACTGTGCTTCTTATGGACAGATACAGCTAACAGGCCCAAGAACACCTGCCTGTCTCCCTCTGAAAATCAAAGTCCTGTGCACAAACATCAGTCTACAAAATTAGGGGACCATTTGTTGCAAAATGAAAATGTACCCTGTTACAGATCCACCTCCCAGGGATATGGAGTATCTCTTGTTACAGCAGAATATAATTTTTCTCCTGGCCTTGCTCACTGTAGAAAGAACCATTAAGCCATTTACATTACAAGTGGTGGTTTCTACTCCCTTTAGGTAATATAATATGCTAAATGAACTTGCTGCTATGCCATATAGTGCTCTATTACGGACTCTAGCCATTAATTGGTTTGGGGTCATTGGCCATCTCAATTAATGTGAGGAATCTACTGTTCTTTAAGTAAAATGTTCAATAGCATCTCCTACTGAAATGGGCCAGATTCAAATGATATGCATCATTATGCATGTGCCAAAGTACAAGCGTGTGGGTTTTCCTGCATTTATATTTAGGGTAAGAAAACAGAGTCCATTTTTTAAAGTTTAAAGAAACTGTTTACAGGGGCTGTGTTGTACTGAAGTTGTTAAAAAGCTTGAGGAAACGTGGCACTGAGGAAAATACAAAATCTGTAGGCCGCGTAGTAATTTAACCCTTTCAGAGCAAACGTACTAAGGAGAGAAAAGCTGCCTTTATCTTCTTTGCCCCCGTCTGCAGAAGCGTACGGGTAACGCTGCAAACAGAACCATCACTTCTGCTACAACCTGGGTAATAATGTGCTCAGTTAATCTACACAACATAGAGTCATCCTCTCAAAAAGTCATTCACTTCTTTAAAAACTGGAAGGAAAATAAATATGGTGCAGTAAAATTGTTGAGTAGAGGAATCTATCTGGACATTTCACAAAACATTTCATTATGCTGACAATTCCCAGAAGTACTCTCAAGAGTGCTTTAAGCTGAGGATTACTGCACTGGAGCTGATGGACTTTTTTTGTAGCCCCTTTAAAAGGCAGTGAACCGTTTTTCTATTTTATTTAAATAATGCCCCTTAAAATGGATTTTTAGAGGTATAATAACTCCTTAAGAGTCAGTTATGCTAAACAGTTTCTCTTGATAGAAATGTTGTAAAACTCGTTAACTGCACAATTTCAGATGCCGGCTTGGTGAACACTAACTGACATGTGAATGACCAGAGTTTGTAAAATAAATTGCAATAGTTGTTGTATCACACAGCTAGCATTGCACAAGCTGGAGGCCACAAGGGGCTCTAACCTGACAGAAAATTACTTCAAGATGAATGAAAAGTGCTTGTTTCTCTTTATTAGTTTTTAGAGAACAATGAAAATGTTGAATTGTTTACAGAGGGCTGATTAAATGTGGTCAGCGGGGCCATGTCCCTACTGCTAACTGTTGGCCTGCTTCTCCCACCGGCCCCCAAACTACACACACACACACACATCACCCACTCCAAGCGCCCAACCCCCACCCTCACCTCCCTGCCACATGCATCTTCTTAGAGGCTATTATGGCTGCACATCTGTGTGTGAAATGTGCTCGTTCTGACATTCCACTGCCGCTCAGAGCTGCAGAGGCCTTTGTTAGGTAAAACGCTATTGTCAAGTCTAACAAGCAGGTCATGCAATTTGCTGGACACTGCAGCAGAGAACAGTCCAGGATGAATTGCTTCGGCCTCAAACAATGCTTAGTTCCATAGCAGAATACATATGTATTTCTTTCATTGTGCGTACTACAAAAAGTCATGACATTGTTTTTTTAAGGCTTTGATTTAAAAAAAAAAGTGTGTGTATATATATTATATATATATATATGTTATATATGTGTGTGTGTGTGTGTGTTGCTAGGGTTAGACTACCACAAAATAGCCTATTTGTTATATTTACTTAGGATAACTACTGTCTTATGGCTATAGGAAAAAGGCATGAAGTGCTTTAATTGGTCATTTGTGGTTTAAATCCCACTTATGTTTTACCAGAAAGCACAGTGAGAGGAAAGGCACAAGCTACCATTTTAGCTGACTGGTGTACTTAAAGGGGTGGTCAAAACCAGGGCATTTAGGAGGATGTTGTGGAGAATGATTCTCACTTTAGATTTCCACAAAGTAAACAGCCCTTGATGGAAAGAAATATGAGAACTCATTAATAAGCATATGCCAAGCAGGAAGAAAACAATCCTTTTACCAGACCAAGCTAAATGAATCAGATCCAGAAGATGTTTTGGTAAACTAAAAAATTAAGGAAAAGGAAATCATTGTCACTCAGCTCAACAAACAGCCTTCCACGGCCCATCTCTTTCCTCACTCCTAACCTCACCCTTCCATGTACACAGGCACGCACGCACACGTTAGGGAAAGAAGCAGTAATAGGGAGTTCACAGGCTGTTTGTGGCATTCTGACACAATACATAGCACACACCCCTAATGTGCAAGCAGGATTCTCTTTCCCTCTGAGCAGAATATGCATTCTGAGCCCATTATGTGTATAAACAATGGCATATGTAATTACCTTTCTAGGGTGGCAATTATTTCTCAGAATCAACAACCAGAGTTGAAGCATGTTCCCCCAAAAGACATTTGGGGATCAATTCTGGGTCAATTACGTCAGGCTTTGATTTATCACATGGTGTCAGGCCATGTTAAAAAAAGAAAGTTTAAAAAAAAAAGCATTATGAGATAAAGGCTAAAGGTTTGACTCAAATTGGTTTGTCTCCAACTTTGCTTTCTCCCAATTGCTCTGCCCTCCCCCATTCTCAAAACAACTGTGATTTGCTGGGTTTTATCTGTTAGACAGTTTGCTGGTTGGGAATACTAAATGAAATGAATCTGGACTAGATCCAGATTTGATCTGCCCCCACACCACCAGGCACTGGGAATTTCTCCTGGGATGCAGCAGAGGGGAGAGGTTAATAGTTCAGGCTTTAGAATCTAAGAGATCTGGATTTAGATCCCCATGACTTAAGCAAGACACATACATATCACTGCAGTAGATAATGCCTACTTCAAATGGTTGCTGTAAGGTTTAAATGAGATAATTAAGCGAGAGGATATGTGTAAAACACTTAGCTCAGCGCCTGGCATGACGTGAATACCCAGTGAATAGAGTGACTGCTCTTCTTAGTGGAAGACAACCAGAGGAGAAGCAGAAAAGCTCCTCCAAAGGCCCACCCCTACTGAGCTGGCCAAGGGCCAGGGGAAACACAGTGGATGCTAGTACAAATCACAGGCCTAAACTGATGAATCCAAGACACCCATTAAGCAGCCCAGTGGACTAGACTGAATATGAAGAACCCAGTTAATTTGGTCGTATTCTAACTAGATTGACTATGAGCTACAAATGATGAAGGTGCTACTCTGTTAGCAAGACCCTCTGTCTTTCATAGAGCCTTAGGAATCACAGAAAAAAGCTATTTCACATGTTTTGACCACCAAATGTTTACTCAACACATACCTACTATGCACCAGGCACTGTGCCAGGTTCCAGGAACATAGAGATGGTCCCTCCAAAAAATTTCCCAGAACATGAAGTACATACCTACAATGTAGTAAAATATAGTTTCATAACTCAGATTAACAAATATCCAGTATCAGGAGTTTGGGGGCAGGGCAATTCATCCTATTAAGGACGAATCATGTAATTAAGTCACTGGTCAAATTAGAACTATTCCTTACTGAGGAGCAAAATAAAAGTTTTGGGAAATTAAGTAAAAAGGGAGAGTATGAGAATTCTCATCAAATTCTTTAGGGAGCAATATAATGTCCCATTCAAAGAACACTTTAAATCCATTTTATATGGAGCAACATTGTTTATTCAATAAGAGGGAAACGGCACTTCACAATTCATTTCTCAAATGCCACACAGTGCTATTGGCAGTATATAGTGGCAGCTTAATTAAGAAGCCTGTTGATGTTTAAAAAAAAAAAGCTGGCACATTTTCCATTCAGATGGACACCACTCAAGACAAAGACATGTCTATTGTTGCTTCATACATACAAAAATGTGTTACATACACCACATAAAATGTCTAATGTCTACAGTCATATTAGCATCTTAACACTGGAAGAATCATGACTTATTCCCAGATCAGAAATAAGTCTTCAAAAAAAAAAAACCATAATTTTGTAGTATAGAGGACAACACATGAATACCAAAATAGCCAAAGTTTCCTACAGAGTCATTGCCCAGGTCTCTTTTGCCCCTATCCCAACCCTATGCTGGGTCCATGAACAACATTCCCAAGTTTGATACAAATCTCCCCCTTTCCCGAAGCTAATAGCTCACATGATGTCAGGCTCCTAAGGCACAGAAGGTAGAGGCCTACAGAGACAACATATGTAATTCACCTACCCACTCTGCAAGAAATGTACAAACACAATATATTTTTCAACAGATAATCTATAGCTCGGGAGTGGGGGGAGAATTGAATTCAATTAATTCCAAATCTAATGTGTTAATATCTCTAAAGTCTACCAAATATTTACAGAATGAATAAAATAAATCCTACCTATCAAAAGTCCAAACAAATGGAATTAAGATGTCCTTAGTTGCCCACATTAGACTGTTTTGTTTTGTTTTTTATTAAAGGGATTTAAAATACTTACAGAATACACTTTTCCATTCATTTGTTTTCTATCTTAGAACACACTTAATTAAGAGCAGCAGGGAAAAAAAAGTGCCCTGAAACTAATTGTAAATCCATTGAAGGCAGGAAACACATCTTACTTGTCTCCCTCATTTTCCCTCCCCTATTTTGTGCAGTGATTCACCCATAGTAAGTACTCAATTAAGTTGAAAAGGCAATGCATGTTTCAATTCACATTAATTTGGAGGGGCTGCACTGATTTGAGGAACAGCTGAGACAAAAAGGATAGGTTCAATCTTCCCTGATTCCTGGCTAGTGAGGCACACTGTCTTGAAAACTTTGCTGAAGCTTGTGTAACACTGGCATCATTAACTGCTGGCCACTGTGGCATTCTTAATGTCTTGATTTGTTTGCATTTTTGCTGATGGTAACAAGATGATTCTCCAACGGTTGTCTTTCCAACAAGAAAATGTGAAAGGTGCTGTGAAGCAGGTATTCAGTGAAGCAGGTATTCAGTCTACCCCTGTCCTACAGACAGTGTATCTGTGAACAAAATGGAAACAAATCATTAATCCAAGACTTTCTAAGAACAACTTTTCAGAAGTACAACAGTTGGTCTTCTGCTGATCACTAAAATTATTTAGCTCAACCCTTCAAAAGTACAACCAGGATCTTTTATGGTAATAAGGCTGGTTCGAGTTTTCTCTCCTTACCTTATATAACGACCTTAAAATCCATGCCACCGCAGTTATAGATCCAAGCCCGATAAAATAAAAAATACTACACACCTGTACCATTTTGAAAACAGAATTTTCCCATTCAGGTAAGGAACCTGTATTTTCTGTCCTCACCTCTAGAAATAGGAATAAAACCTGTCCTGAGGTTCCAAGCCCTATCCATTCACGAAGAGGGAAGTCCATGCCTATGTCCCATTATGGAGCCTCAGAGTGGCTGGCTGAGAACCAACAGCCGCACACAGCCCCCTGCAGTGAAGCCCTGCAGCCAGATAGGAGCGCTCTTCAGTTAGCAAAGGCTCAGAACTAACCCAGGTGAGTAAAAGAGGTTAGGGATAAACACTTCAAACATCTCCTCCAGCAACCAAGGCCCCATGAGAGCCACACACACAGACCCAGGTAGGCCCCACCTAAGGCTTTTCAGTCATGCTCAGGCACACGTACACTATCAACACTATCTTAGAACAGGAAAGAAAAGCATCTTTGCAAGGAATATTTCTATCCATTCACCTGCTCAAGGGCTCTTTTTCTCTGAAATGTCCCACTGCAGACCCACCACAGTTGAGATACAAAGCCAAGCTTACACAAGTAAGTTGAGATACAAGATACAAGCTTACACAAGTAAGCTTAGCCTTATTAACACACTGATTTAATTTACTTCATTTCTTTGGGTTTTTAAAGAATAGGCCAAAGGGATACGTCAGTTGAAAATACCTGTCAGCTCTACTCGACTTCACAGTGGCCTGGCCTATTGCTGGGGGAATGGGGATTGGTTATTTAAGGAGAGGGAACTTTGCTCTCTGTGAGTGGGCAAGTTTCCTAGGCTCACTCTTTTGCCACCCCACCCCCTCCTTGCATGTCCCAGGGGATCGGGATCCTCACCCTCCTGAGGCTCAGCTCGGGAAGAAAGAACACAGAGGCTTCAAGATTAGCTGAAGCTGCTGTTTGCCCAGCATCTCCCACCCCACCCCATGTCTGTGAGCCCAGGTCTGGTGTGAGTGTGGGAAGATGATTATAGCAAGGGATGCTGGAAGTGTACTCAACTAGGGTGGGACTTTTCCTTCCGATGGTGCACTGAGCAATAGAGGTGGTGAGAGGTGAAGGGTGAGAGAGCCATGCTGCTGAATTCTGGTTGGCATTCTCCCCTTGTGCAAGATGGGGAGGCTGCGAGTGGGGCAGCCTCTGCGTGGTGTGGCTGGGAGATAAACCTAGAGCAGAAGCACAGTTATCCCGTTGAATTATTTGAGCAAAACACTACTGTAAATAACTTTTGTTTTTGTCTTCTGTCAAATAAAATTGTTTTGGGTTTAGAAGAAATACAACACCTTTCAGCTCAGGAACAAAAATGTCAAAGTACATGAGCATTTAAAATGGACCCGGAATCATTTTAGGTTCTTCTTTCCCTATCCATTATATCAAACTTGTCATTGAAGCCTCTTCTTAATTTGAAATGTCTTTTGCAGCTCCCTTTGCTTCTGAATTTCTACTAAGTCCTCCCCACCCCTTTGCCAAGCCCTGTTCTCCTCAGCCTGGGATATGACAGGCTCCTAGCTATGCCTCCGTCTCCTGTGCTGTAGTCAACTCCTTCCAAGTGATGCTACCTCCACCGGGCCTCTGCTTCAGCCATTCATTCCAAGATCTGTCTGAGGTAGGGCCCCTGAAGGATCTACTTAAGAGGCTCAGCACAGCTGTGATCTTCAATGCATCTTCAGCAGGCAGGCAAAAGAGAAGCAAGCAACCACACACACACACACACACACACACACACACACACACACACACCAGATAGCAGCAACGGTGTTCCTTTCTTGGCCACAAATGCACTGAATTGCCCTGAGCTTACTCCACACAGCTTCATCATCATTCCCCCATTGCCCTGCTAACTCCACACATATTGGCCCAGTCTCCTGAACTGTTTGCCCTGGCTAGCTTTCCTTTTTCCTTCAAGACCTTGTGCCTTGCCCTGTACTTCAATCTACTTGAGTAGGGCCCTGATACCACCGTCCACGAGTCTATTCCAGAACTCAAGCTGCCGGCTGGAATCCAGCTATGATTACATTGCCCAAATTCCAAGACAGCACCATTCCTGACTCAGTCTTACCTCCTCTCCACATTCTAGTTAACCAAATCTCCTGCTGAACTGGATCTCCTCAGATCCAACACTTCTTGTTCACTGAGGACTAGACTGCTGGCTAACGCGAGCACAGCCAGGTTCCCAGTCGCTGTGATACCTGGTCTTGACTTCTCTTGTTCCCTGGCAACCTATGTTGCTGAGATCTTGCAGAGGAACCCCAAACTCCCAGCTTAGACAAATTTCTATGTAAGAGGCTAGTTATAATATCTACAGTGTCTTTACAATACAATTTATTTATTCATTCATTCAATTAGTCAGTAATTTATTAATTTATCCTCCCTTTGTCCCATAAAAACTTAGAGGTTAACACTAAGTTTAAAAGAAAAAAACTCACCTGACTATCTATAGCTTAACATATGCCTGATTTTTGAAGTATCCCACCATCCTATTCCACTTCATTCCCTAGTCTCCAAAATTAAGTCTCTGCCTCAGGTACATAAGTTCACTGACCTCTAAGCTCATTATGAATCTTTGTTCACCCCCTCCTTATTGCCTTCTTAATAAGTTCCTTTAATCCTTTGGCACCTCACTTGTGACATGATCCAGAAAGCCTTCCCCAAGAAACAAATACACATTGATTTATCCCTTATCTGGATTCTTTCTCGAATAATCAATAACACATAGTTCAAGTGCTTTGGTTTTCACTAAATGTTTCATGTACATTAGCTTCCCAGACAGACAATCAGTTCTTTGAGGACCAGGATAAAGGCCATGTCCTGTATGTGTTATAGTGCCTTCTAAAGCAAAGTTCCACTTCCCTCTCTCCCCACCCTTAATACACTCCCCAAACCCACACCCATGAAGGAAGAGAGGTAAGGAGACTGAATCAAGTTACTGGACTCAACTAAACTTCTTAATAGGTGATAGAGCTTTGGGTATATGGAGAAAAAGGTTAAAGTTTCAACTTCTGTAGGCTGTTCCCTCTTTGTGGGGTTCATCTCTTGGAATCCTCATTCTCTGCAGATTGCTTCTCTCTACTTCCATGTGCCAATGAAGCGAAACAGGTCTAGAATTGCCTCCCACTTGGTAGATGATCCCCAATAACTCTTCCCCAAGATAAGGCTTAGGACAAACTAATTGGACCAGCTCTAACGTAAACTTTTCTTTCTCTTTTTTCATTTTTCTCCTGCCTCATCTAGTCACTAGTAAAGTAGGACCTAAAGAGTTGGACCCAAGAAAAAGAACCAAAGACATCTATCTGTCTGCAAGACACAATATTTCCAAGCAGCTCCATATGGACAGCTAAGTTCATATGAGACTGCATTAGGCTTGGGTGTTGGGGGATGAGGGGTGGGCAGCACCAAGGTAACAAGAATGTTATGAGGTCTTGAGGTCTACCCTGTGCTTATCTCCTCCTGTGGCCCCAGAAGATACCTAAGTAAGGATCTGTGGGTTCATCTCAACGTAACTACTAAGTATATTCCTAAGAAATATTCTCAATACTTGTTAATTGATTTTTCTATGGTAAAAGCCAAAATTTTATCAGTATAGATCAAGAAGGGGCACCTGGCTGGCTCAGTCAGTAGAGCATGTGACTCTTGATCTCAGGATCATGAGTTTGAGTCCCACATTGACCTACCTAAAAAGAATATATAAATTAAAAAAAAAAAAGAATAGACCAAGAATTCTAGGAAACCCTGAAGTTCAGGGTCAGGATTGTTTATGATTTATGTATTAAATACATGCTTTACTCAAAACCTCAGAGTAATTTTATTTCTATAAAGCCATCTCTCTATGAATGCATCTCTTACAACACAGAACTCTGAGTTTGAGATCTTTTTGAGTGAGAATGCAAACAAGATAAATCCCAAGGGTTTTGCAAGGCTTTCTGCCAAAGATTAAAGCCAGTGGGGGCTCTTCTATTGTGAAATTTTGAATTAGCATTTGTAGATAACCAGAGTCCTCTGAAGAAGCATGTACTATTCATAATATCTCACATAATGTATTTAAATATATCATACACATATCATATGTACAAAACCTTGATATACTACTTGGAAAGAAATGTATAATGGATGTAAGCATATCCCAAAGTCATGAGATCATTTATCACTTGTCTAAGTCTATATCAAAACTCCATTTTGAAACAATGTTCTTAATTATCATTTGATGCAGAGACTGTCAATTGTCCCTTAATACCCTATTCTCTCCTTTTTTCTTTATTAATAGAACTCCTGAATTTTGAGAAGTACATGGCCCAAAGATATACTTTCAGACCTTCCCGGCAGATAGGTATAGCTAGTAAGATGCGAGTAGAAGTTAGAAGTGCAACATCTAAGAAAATGCCTTTATTTTTTCAAATTTAAGCTCAATTAGTCAACCTATAGTACATCATCAGTTTCAGATGTAGTGTTCAGTAATTCATCAGAGTTGTATATAAAACCCAGTGCTAAAAAGAATGATTATGAGAGCATATGGGTGCTTCAGTTAGTTAAACATCTGCCTTTGGCTCAGGTCATGATCTCAGCATCCTGGAATCTAGCACTGTGTCCTTGTTGGGCTCCCTGCTCAGTGGAGAGTCTGCTTTCTCCCTCTGCCTCTCCCCACTCTGCTTGTGCGCTCTCTCTCTCTAAAAATAAATAAATAAAATCTTTAAAAAAAAAAAGAATGATTATGTATCTTCAGACATGTGAATGAAGCCAACACCCAGGGATGGCTGCGTAGTAAAAAAGAAG